ATTCAGTGTTAATACAAAATCACCAAAACTCGCGATGGTACAGTCTGAATGTGGAGTTAGATGAAAAGTTACAGTGATCGAAAGTCAAAAAAGCACCAGAAAAAACAAAAATCTGTAGGTATTACTATTTACAGATATTATTTAAATCCCTGGGTAAGACATTAAAGAAGAGGTCAGGGCAGCAGAATGCCAAATCTTAGTGGATGCATTTAAATATTTTATTACTTTGTAAACAGATTTGAGTGAACCTCACTAAGATGGTATCAGAACCATCAACCATAAACACAGAACACCCAATAAACTAGTTAGTCAGACATGGTTGGGTAAATGTAGAGGTTTAAAAATGTAAAATTGGATACTGTAAGAGCGCAGTGGCAGGTTGAAAATAAAACATATAGGCAAATAGTTGAGGTTTGTCAATCTGATGCCATCTGGGATCAACAATGGTGCCACTGCTCTCATCCAATCAAAAAAAAAAGAATACTCAGGGCCCAGACAAAAGGAAGGAAGCACGGCAAGAGCATTGATTGCTCTGAGTCATTTGCATTTCAACGCACACCAGACTCTTCTGTCTGTACTGTAAAGCTGCAGGCCGGCTGGAAACAGGGGTTAAAGCAGGACTGTCCCAGTTTAAAAGGCACGGGCTCACATGTGCTCACATATGCTCACGGGGACTAAAATAGACCAATAGGAAACCTTCTTTGTTTATTTTTTTACTCTGCTGCTACTTGTCCTTTTGAACCCACTCACAATCTAACAACCAAACATCCCTCTGTCATCTAAAAGGCTGTGAAGAAACTGGCATACATTTTGCATTGCAAAGTCAACTAATAGTTCCCATTGCTTTATGAACAGTACAAAAAAAGCTTCTTTATGAAGATATTTTCAAATTTAAAGATGTAAAGAATAAAATGTATTATGCAGTTACATTTACATGCTATGATCGTTTTTAAAACAGTGGCAAGATTTAAATATAAAAATTTTCTTTTTAAAATAAAAAAAACCCCTCTAAATTTTAAGCCTGAAAACAAGTTTTTTTCACTTGAAATTAATATATATATATATATATGTGTGTATATATATATATATATATATGTGTATATATATATATATGTATATATATATATATATATATATATGTATGTATATATATATATATATATATATATATATATATGTATATATATATATGTATATATATATGTATATATATATATATATATATATATATATATATATTATATATATATATATATATGTATATGTATGTATGTAAGTATGTAATAAATCACTCTGCTGAGGCACCTTTTATGTGAAGCAGCAGTGGAATATAGATGCTGTCAAATGTTTAACTCAAACCCATTTGCATAACCTATTCAGGCAGAGTATTTCATATTTTAAGGGCTGTAAGGATTTGATGCCGTTTTAAGACCATCAAACTCACTCACTCACACTTCCTCTTCAGTATTATTTTAATGCAGATAAACTGTTGCTTCAAGATCTGACAACTGTATGAGGTCACTTAAGTTCACTATGAATTCTATCAGAGGTAAAGCAGCTGGCTCAGGTTTAAAGGGAGTACTTTTCTAGAGCAAATCCAACATATATGATTTGTATTCCTTTTTTAATGACCGTTTATAACGATATCAGAGGATCATCAGACTTATGATCATACTAAAATCTGCAAAAGAATTATTTTATATAGATTTTGCTTTTAAGGTGTTTCAGAGTTTTAATACAAATTATTGATTTTTCTTTTTAGCCCCCCTCCCCAACCCCGAACGCACAGTTACCGAGTGTTATGCAAACTATTATGCCACGAGCAATAAAAAAAAATCTGTAAAATTATTTTTATAAGATTTTCTGTCGTTTTTTTGGAAATATTTATTCCTACGTTTTTCGGGCGATTTTTAAGTAACGTTCTCGTCCGCTCGCATTAATTTTGTTTTCGCTACATTTGGAAAATAATTTATTTAACTAAATTAGGATTTTAATTTTGATAGCGGTTGTTTTCTTCGTGATGGTGGCGGCACAATTCTCCTTAGATTTTAAGCTTGCGTGATTTCGCTAAAATGTCAGCCACAGCGTGTGTGGGGGTGAAAAGGTAAAGTTTACCTGTGGTGAACAGCACGATGGCCTTAATGCAGCTGTACTCCGCCGAATCCACGTGCAGCACCTTCAGCTTCTCCACCTGCTCCTGGAAGACCCGGATGTGGTCCATGAAGGCCACCACCCGGTCAGCAGACATTGGGGATGCGTGGAGACCAGCAGCGGCCAGTAGGGGGGCGGCGTGGACGGGCATGGAGCACTGGGCGGCGTTCAGGACGAACAGTTCGCTCCAGGTGAGGCGAAGAAGGGCCACCTGGTCCGGCACCTGCAGGTCCGGGAAAAAAGGGATGTTGCGGGCCCACTCCACAGCGCTGAAGAGCATCCGAGCCGCCAGCTCGCAGATGTTCTCAATGCCCAGGATGTTGTTGTTCTGCAGGCACTGAGAGCCAAACCTGGAGGTCGGGTAGGGTTCGGCCCGCAGCAGCAGAGAGATGTACCCCGACAGATAGGAGTGGCACTGCAGAGGATCCCCGTTTGTCAGAGCAAACTGGCCGTGATATGACTGGGTTGGTATTCTGCCTCTCTGGACAGCTGGAAGAAAGAAACGGCAGAAATGCCACATCACGCTAGAAGGCGATTAAAACAACGAAGATGACATTTAAAGAACCCTAAAACTAGACATCACGCACGGGACGTCATTTACAACAGCATATGTGAATTAAAACCTCGCGCTTATTTTAGTCAGATTAGGCTGGGATTCCTTTCTAATGTCAGTAGTGAGCTAGCTTATGGTTGGCTGGCTCTTCAGAAGTGGACATGGATAAGTGTTGTGGACAGCTCCTGGAAAGAAATGTCACATTCAGCTCGGTGTTGGGAGATCTAGAGCACAACCTGCAGATAATGGCGTGTGAGATTTTTTTTCCTTTCCCCCCCTCTTTTCTTTTTCTCAGCGTGTTTCTGGGTATTCAGTAGCGTTGCATTTTTTTTGTTTCAAATGTATAATTGCTCCAGTTCACAGCCCAGATTCCGTTTTCAGTTAATGCTCTCTAATATCATCAAGTGAGTAGGCTTATTGTAACTTAATTATTTATTTTTTGGCTGTGAAATCTCTAATAGCCTAAACTTTAATAAACTTTCACATTTAGACAACAAAGCAGACTCTTAGTAGACTAGTGTAGGCTGCGGTCTGGGCCTAGTGCTGTATATGAAAAGCATGCATAATGAATAAGAGCAGACACACATGGTCCGCACGAGCACATCATTTAAAAATGTATTTTACATTTTTATGGCTACAATTTAAACGAAAAAAAGGCACTAAAACTAAAGTTAAATATATCTACTGCCGAATGTGAACTCCTGACATTTAAAGCTTCTGCAGACTCACACTCACCGGGGATGATGGACATAAAGCGGAAGGGGAGCAACAATAGTGCACCTAACATGCTACAGGATGCTAGCGGGAACATCTGTAATAATTTGTAATATTACACACTGAGGTCTACACAATATAAAGCTATAGTACCCGAGACAAAATAAATAATTATACACCGCGTATTTTAAAAAAAAATATATATAGACATTATTAAATGAATAAAATATCCCTAGTGTCAAACAAAGGCAACATGTGGCGATGGTAAGGCTCCTGGGTCCACAAAGAAATATGTAAACATAAGCTAGGCTACACATATGTAGCATCCACACAACTAGATATGGGGCAGATATGCGTTCAAACATAAAAGAGTGCTGCATGTGAAAATGTTATGGATGTGATAGTACCAGTAATAACAGTTTGATGCCAGCGCGTACCTTCTCTCCTCATGCCGACTTTGAGGCATTTCTTGAGGCGACAGTACTGGCACTGGTTGCGGTGGTGCTGGTCTATGGGACAGTTCCTGTTGGCCCTGCAGGTGTAGGTCAGGTTTCTCCTGACGCTGCGTTTAAAGAAGCTCTTACATCCTTCGCATGTGAACTGTCCATAGTGCTTCCCGCTGGATTTATCCCCGCACACGATGCACTCGATCTGCTGGCTCTGCTGTTTGTCCATGGACAAGGAGGAGGAGGAGGAGGAAGAGGAGGTGCTGTTGTTATTGTTGGTGGTGGTCGCGACGGTGTTGCCGGACGGATTGGACGGCGGTGCTCCCTGAGGTGCAGCTGCTGTTTGGGGTATTTCCAGAGAAGGCGCCGGGTTCATGTGTCCCGTCAGCTCTCCGGGCAGAGACAGAGGTGCAACCTGAGACACCGGGGAGGAAAGAGTCCCCTGAGAGTCCCCGACCGCCTCGGTGTTTCTCCACGCTACCATCGCCATTTCGACTTTCTCCAAAACTTTTTGCGCCCAACTTCGTTTTTACGCGATAATTAACTCACACGTACTGTCGGCATCAATAGCTAATACACAGTCATGGGAAACTGCGGCATTGTTTGACGAAACGAAATACAATTTCAAATAAAATAAATAAAAGCGAGCTCATAGGATAACGGCAGAAAATTAAAACGAGTTCACAAGTGAAGATTGAGCAGTCACCCAGAAGCAGCTGCTGGCGCGGACAAAATCCAAAAAGACAGCTTCATTCAAACCGTCATAGTGCGCTATAGCATCCACAGAGGGGGGGAAATAAAGACGGAGCCATCCACACAGGGAGGAAACGTTATCCCCAAAATATACAATCTGATCCTTTCTGTTCTGTGTGTCCAGCTTTAAACAGAATGCCGTGCGAGCAGATCCTTCATTAGGGATGGAGTCACGCGACCAGGCTTTCCAGACGCTCCCTGCTCTCCCGATCAGTAAGAAGTTACATTAAAAAGACATCAGGGAGAGAGAGAGAGAGAGAGAGAGAGAGAGAGAGAGAGAGAGTCAAAGAGGGGGAGTGATGGATGTTGATTTTGACGATGCTTTGCTCCGGGACGGAGGAGGAGAGTGATGCGCCCGCACGTCACCGGCTGTGAATCGGTGACGCGGGTTTGGGGCGGAGTTAACGCGTGGAGAAGCTGGTCTCGGAGCAGCAGTGCGGGGGTTCAGCTGACTTTAAAGAGGGTAAGAGTTCACATCCTCCCTGTTATGTTTTCTGCTTTCCCTCCCTGTCCAATCGCTCGCTCTCGCTCTCTCTCTCTCTCTCTCTCTCTCTCTCTCTCTCTCTCTCTCTCTCTCTCTCTCTCTCTCTCATGTGTGCGCACACGAACGGGTTTTTTCTGTTTGTTTTTTTTATTTTGTTTTTTGCACTATGACTACTTACTTGCCGTGAATCGGTCAAACCACAGTTTGCATCATATCACCCATAATGTATATTATGAGTACTCATGTTATACTGGTACATAAAGAGACTGCTTCTGCCCGCGAAGACCCCGAAGGGGCCAATTCAGATTCTAAATGCAGTTATTTGATGCCACCTAGTGTCGTCAGTAAATTACGCAGAAAAATTCCCTTTTTTAGATCCACTTCACTCACAAAAAGAGATAGATTTTATACATTTCTTTTATAAACAATACATTTAATGCACCTCTCCTCTGCCCTGTCTTAGCTGCAGTCACTTTGTGGACTTTGTAATCACGTAATCATCCACTCACACCAAATGACTAATCAGATAAGAAGACATTTTTAGAAATTACTAAAACCTTTTCTTTTTTTCTTTCTTTCTTTCTTGAGAGAGAACATTTACAAGTTAGTTTATGTATGGGTGAGATACATATTGGACTTTTAGCTTTCATCAGTAAACTTGCCAAACATCCTCACTTCCAGTGCAGATTTACTGTAAAAAGATTGTTGTGAAATGCTCAGTATAAACGCACAAAAATTATTATTTTAGCACAGGCTGTAAAATCTATTCTAAATATAAATTAAACAAACCGAATAAATAAACTGATGTTATCCCTCCTCAAATAGCAATAATACAAAGATATATGGGAATTAAATATATACAAGAAAACCAGTGGCTACATGTCTAGCTGAAGAGATGACACCTTCACATGCGCCTCTGCCCTTTCTGTCTCTCATGTTCATGATCTATTGAATTTCACTCAGAGCAGCTGCATTGGCGCATACGCTACTTGATATCCATAAAGCTACTGCATTTTTCAGAGTAGATTTGGTGACTTTGATTATGGTACTAAACTCAGTGTTGCTGTGTGTCTCCATACAGTTGCATTGTTTGATTTTGGTGTATTTACGTGTAGCACAACCATTCTTTTCATTTGTTGTGGATTTCTCAAATGGAATCAGTCTGATGTCCATGGATGTCTTTGATGGCAAGTCAGTGCCATGTAAAAATGTCTGTATGGCCATTTCACTGTTGACTCATGCTCCATGAGTCCTGAGGCTGAGTGTGCTGTCACGTTCTTCCAGACGGCCAGAGCTGCAGTCATCCAGCGACTGCTCGCACACAAAACAAGCCTTGCCCCGCCTGCTAACAAAACACACGGCTGATGTCCAATACCAATCAGCAGTGGAAGGTCAAGGCTAAAGTGTTTACCACACTGAATGTGGATGATGCATTCCTTCACACTGTTTATTTCACTGACCTCTCCCCTCCCCCGCTCTCCCTCATGATGGGTCCGGTTAATATTAATCACAGATTTAGGAGTTTACAGATGATAAATCCCACCTGTTTTTGGTGATCTGGTGCCCTTTATGACTTATCACCAGTGGGGGAGCTGAAAGCGAGCTAATTGGAAACAAAATGAGGGAGAGTTTGGCCAGGAGAGACCTGCTGTGTGGGCAAAACCACCAGGATATGACTGTTTGCAGTGCAGTGGGAGGCAGCTCTGGCTTCCTGCTCAGAAATCTGCAAAATGTTTCTAATGCAAGCTTGATGTCACTTTACTGAAAATTTGCTCTTATAATTCTGAACATGACAAACATTGGTCAAGCTAAAATCTGAAAAAAATATAGTGTGAAGGTGGTTGATGAGTTTATATGACATGAGAAAACTACGTTCAGCAGGTAATATGATGAAGCGTATTGTCAAGGAATTACTTGACCAAAAGAGCTTTTAGAAAAGCACACATTATAGTCTTCTAGGAATATCCGGTAGTATTCTCAGCTTTGGCAGTGAATGGGTGTGGTGTAAAGTCATTACGGTAACAAGATTAATGGTTGTGAGCTAAAAGTGCACGGTAGCCTTTCAGATCCTGCAGTGGATGTCTTCTGTTTGTGTTTTAGCAGTGACTGTGTGTAAGTGTGCAGATTCCGAAATGTCATGACCTGACCCAGAGGCCATGATGTAGAAACAAACCATTGCAAATCAAATTGTCCAATTTACCTGCAAAATAACAACTCAATATCTGAACTGTACCCACAGCAAAGTGAAATGTGTAGTGTCTGGATGTGGTTGGGCGAGGCAAAATACATCAATATTTTAAAAAAATAATCAGAATAAAATAAAAACAAAGGGATTGTGCATGTGGAGAAAAGGTTATGGTCAGCATATAACCAGTCCTAAGTTCAAAAGTGAAATATACATGAGCATTAGCATGATTTCTGGAAAAGAAAGAAACATTTGCCATTTTGTGAGCGGAAAGCAAATTAATTATTACATCTAGCTTCTACCAGTTATTTAATTATGTGGAATAAATGTGCATCCACTTTTATTTCAAAGGATAGTCCCTATATCCCTGTGATATTTCGATTGTTTAAATACTAATGAAGAATTAATCACAGTTTGTGTCTAACCAGATTTTTCTGAAAAGAAACCTAATCCAGTTACACAAGTTTCAACCTTATATTTATCAAACTTATCAACAACCTAGAATTTTATATCTGCAATCTTGCAAAATAAGCTCAATGTGCTTTTGTTAAAAAAAAACAATTAACACCAAAAAATCACAGTAAGCTCCGGAGAATACAGAGAATATGATCCCCGTGACTCTTCTGACTGCAATTGTGTGGGAAGTGTCTAAAGTGCAAGCCTGTCACAATTAGTTTGCTTTAAATTTTATTTTTGAGAATACATCCAACTTTTCTGACACACAGAACAACTTCATCTTGAATAAAATTTCTAGAGTTTTTAACCTGAATACAGTGGGAATCAAGTTTCTGTGAATAAGCAGATGTACACTAGACATTTACTGAATTTTACATGTTAAATTAAACTATAATAAGAAGTGTTAACAACAAAGTTTTACTTATTAAAACAAGACATTTAAAAAATGAGCAAAAGTTGATTTTCATGCATTTTACAGTTAAAGAACAAGGAAGTTTCTGCTACAGATTGTTGAACCGGAGCAACAATTAATATTAAAATCAGTATCTTACATTATCATTTATAGCAATTGTAATTTTTACAGTAACTAGTGACTAAAACCTTTTCATGTTTATGTCTCTGGTAATAGATGCTGGACAGTAAAGAGAGCCTGTAGATTGTCACCCTGCTGTGAACCTTGGCAGCCACTGAAACAAAGCTGGTACCTCTTAGGCTCTTTAGCCGGCTCTTTAGCCGGTTCACATCCTGGTCAGAGAGCAACAATAGTTAGTGAGTTAGATTAACACGGCACAGCCTTTGCTTAACCTGTGACCGCTGAACCATCTCTCACCTTTTATTAACCCCAGACAGCTGACCTCTGACTCCTTCAGGCCAACTGCAGAATTCTTCATGAGGTGGATTTCACGCTTGAGAGACACATTGTGCTACAGGTCAGTGTGCAGTTATAACGCACCGCTAACGCTCGTCTCACTCATGAACAGATTCATCCTGTCGAAATGTTGGGATCCTCATTAGGAATTGTACAAAATCCTACTTAACCTTTGACCTCACTCAGACTAGCACTCATTATCTCGTATGAGATTAACCCACATTGCTTTGTAAATGATAGAATCAACTCAACTCAGCTTTGAACTGTAAACAGTTTTGAAACTGATCAAATAAGATAACATTTTAAACAAGACATATGCTTTAGTCAAACCTTTTAATGTGGACTGCACACATTTCTGACCTGTTTATGCATAAGAGAACTAAAGATGACTGTATTATTATTGTAACATTTTGCAGTATTTTAATATTTAAGTGCAAAATTTGAGGCATATTTGCTGGTAGCCTTTCAGTTGATGCTGATAGAGGTCTTTCGAATGAAAGGATCGCATAATTAGTTTGACAGGTTTGTTTATGCCATTACAAAATATTTTTATTGTCCAGTCTCTAAAGTCATGGATAATGAGGGCAATAACATGATGAGTTTCTTACATTGTTGTGTTTTGTTTTTCAGGTGTTAAAGCCAAATAAATTCCCAGGGGGGCGCTGTGCACACCTTACCGTCCGGGTGGAGGCACTAAGTGGTTAATTAAGTGGAATGGAAGAGGATAAAGACATAATTCAAACTTTACTTTAAGATAATATACTTAAGTGTGATTTTTTTGTGCATTTTTATTATTATTTGTGCATCTTAGATTTTTCTTTAGCCTAATTTAGCAAATCATATCACATTCAGTTCATGGGTTAATCAGTGGCAGTCTGAAAGGGCTGCCACTTGTGGTTAACAGTGCTTTTAGTTACCTTAGGACATAGGATTGCTTTCGTTTGTTTATTAACAGCTTTGTTTAAAAGTTTGGTACTGATCTTGAGGAAGACTTTACCAGAGGTGAGGTTCAGCTCAACTTAGAAGTGATTCATTTATAGAGCTTGATCTAGTTCTGGATCTACACATTTCTGAGATGCTCCTTTAGCAATGTGATCAAATTGCGCATTTTATGTAATTTCGTCACAAAGAGAAATACGCCCCCCAATTTTTTAAAAATTATTTTAAATGAAAACATAAGAAACTAATACAGATCTAAATGTCTTTCTGATCCAGAAGATCATTTAGCCTCAATGAAGATTCAGTTAAATCTTTAATGTTGATGAATAAACACCTTGGTCTGCACTTTATCTCTCTTGTGTCTCGTGCTTTAAGTCAAACTCTGCTTACCATTTTATAAATTCAAATTTATCTACTTTTACTTTTTTACTTCTGACTTTATTTACCCCATAGTTTTATATGCACAAGTCAACGTTATATACAGTTAAAATTGTGACTGACCATAACAGTGTCGTCAGTAATCTTTTAGTCAGTTTACATCAGAAAACATCTGTGTTAATGAGTAATTACTATAGTTTTTAACTGTAATGTACAAGAAGCTGAATCACAGTAACTAACAATAAATAGTGAAGTTAAGAATACAAATATATAGAGAGCAATATTTATGATTAACATAACAAACAATGCAAAAAATATTACAGGCGTGATTTTATTATTATTATTATTATTATTTATCAGGAAATGAAGAGTTTCAAACACACTCACTTTTCATGACAGGCTCTTTTTTTTTTCAACATGGCATCAAAGAATTAGTTGAGTGTTTTAACAGCTGTCATGTGGCTGGCCATGTGTCATTTATGCTGGTGGTTTTTCTTGCCCTAGTTAGTGAGATGCAGTGATATTCTTAAAATGCAGCTGTGAGGCAGGCTGGGAGGATTTGCTGTCTCTAGGAAGTTTCTTTGTGCTTGATCAGTTGATCTGTGGCCACTGCGGGGAGGTAATGCTGGGATGTTTTGATGTACTGGATGCTACATTAGTTCAGACGGCAGTGTGAAGGCCAGAAGGGACATGGACAGTTGGGGGCTAAGTGTGAATGAGACAGAAATTTAAAGAAACCAAAGAGTCTTTCTTGGTACTTTCCAAGGTCAGGTGGCATACATGACTATAATTCAGAGAGACTGTGCTTTTGCATCTGTCTGCATCGAAGGAAAAGTTATCGAAAGCAGGCTGAAAGTGTAGTCCTTTAGAAAAAAGGCATTATGTATTGAAAATTGGATAAAGTATAATGTTTTTTTTTTTTTAAATTGGCACTTGAATTGTGAAATGGTGAGATTTTGCAACCACTTTTTTCTCCACCACCCACTTAGCACTGACTTGCTTCTACATTTTCGCAGCTCAAACACACCAGACACAAACCCTCCCTCTCACTTTTCTACCAGAAGACCAAATGTCATTCACAGCAAAGACATTTCTTTTGTCCTTCACAGCACCACATTTCCTCAGACTGAGAACACTGTCCGGTATTTTGATTGATCATGTATTTGTATCTATTCATAGAGGCCAGATTCATCATTCCAATTTGTCAAGTTGCTGGTGTGCCAAGTTAATTATGTGCAGGAAAGCCAGAAAAAAGAGGACAGCCTCCTGTTTAGACTCATCTGAGGTTTCCCTACCTCACCTCGTCTCCAAACGAGCAGCCAAAGCTTCACTGGGCTGCTGGAGCTGTTTGGCACCATGGGTAATTAGTGTGATGAATGCTTTAGTGGAACAAATAGTGGCAGTCGGCTGTCTCGCTCATCGTGTGGCTGTGCTGTCATAGCTCTGGGGCTGCGAGCTCATCAGGGTAATGGATGATTCTGCAACAGAGCCATCCCTCAAACAACAGCGCCACCACTGAGCAGGAAACGGGCCTCTTTTTTTAGTCGACAAAAAAAAACCTTGAGTCTTGAAGGTATATGGATGTCAAGTGCTTTTTAGAAGGTTACCAACAACCAGTAACAGTTAAATCTGGAAAAATGAAATTGAAGTATCTCGTGAGGTATAATTGGGTGAAATGTAAAAGAATAGCCCAGTGCATTATTCTAAATATGCATTTTTTCTCTCTAAATAGGGCTAAATATATGGATATTCAAACATCTTACTAATCCTCTGTGGGATTCTGTCCTATGCCTGGGCTGTAGAGCTGTCGCCGTAGAAATGATGGATCACATTATTAGATTAGGGGAAAGCAAGGACGGGCTACAACTGGATTTGCAATTCAGAGTCTCTTTTGTATATGGACCTTTTCTGCATCAAAGGAATGGCCCTAATTGGGCCTCTGTCATTGAGTCAGAGATTGTTTTTTAACAATGCAGGAAACCTTGCAATAAATCAGGTCAGCTGTCTGAGCCACGTCACTGGACAAGGCATTAGTCAGATATGCAGAATGTTCTCTTTGCATACAATGTAAAAAGAATTCATCATCATTTACGAGCACAGTTGCAAGCCCACATCTCCTAATTCTTCCAACAAACGAAGGACATATGGTGATTTTTGTCTCTTGGATGAACCCCAGGGCAGAGGCAGCCTTGAAGGTCTGGCTCTGTGTGCTGTCATTTGAGTACCAGCTAATGGCTTATGCTTACTCTGTGCTTTGACTTTTCAACCCACTGTGACAGAGAATAATATGATTCACATAAGGGTGAATTCTCAACCATGTCATCCATGTAGCGGAAGCTGCCGCAGACAGGTAATCCATAGCTGTATCAGGGAAAAAAACACCAGTTCACTGAATTGTTTCGATGGCAGCCAGACCCAAGGCTAACAGAGCATGAGAGACAGGCGAGGTCGTGGAAAGGTTATTTTTTAGGTTCAGGAGGTGAGACTTTGGGGACGTGGACACGTCAGTCTTGCAGAGTCCGCGGGTCAATGTGAAGACAAGTGGAAGACACATTTCTCTGTCAGCACGCAGAGAGCCCGCACGGGTTCAGGCTTTTGTCGTGAAGTCCCAAGTCATTGAGTCAATAGCCAAGGAACATGACACAACCTCTCACAGTCACACGGCATCAAGCGGAACAGGGAATGGCATGCTTTCCATTTCACTGCACCGTGGCCCTGGCGAGACCTCGTCTGCACTCGAGAAACAGGAGAGCTCTCAGCCCAGGCTCTCGCATAAAAGCAACGCAGCAACCTGGCCCCGAACACGTACCTGGCTCGCTCACAGCAGCAGTACAAGATGATTCACCGGTCAATCCATAACCCCGGCTATTATCTCCACTGGCTGCTGTAGCGCGGCGAGATGCCTGTGGATAACCAGAGGGCTTGGATGAAAGGAAATTAGATCATGGCAAAGCACCAGCACATTTCGATTAAACTGATGTCAGGATTTATCTTCTTCCGTCAGTGCATTTAGATGGGAAAAGAAAATGTAACCTTTAACCCCGGCTGATCAAGCACTGACCGAGTGAATAGCCCTTTATCACAAGAATAGCGTTACATGCAATGTAACAAACTACATCATTTTGTCTGCGTGTGAGAAGAGTGAATAAAAAAATACATATCTTGTATGCTGCATCATTATCTAGTGCTGCCTTTAGCAACATTCTATTTGTGACATTTAAACAATACAAACGTGTTCTCTTCACAGGCTGCATGTTTATAGAGCATTGCTTATTTTTCATCCAATTAACAGTGCTAAAAAAAAATCACTTCTATGTTTTTAATCATAATATGATCAATTAGATTTATCATGGGCCAGGCTGGAAACCAGCACCACAACAATGCTCAATCTTTAGACCACTGCTGTAGCATCATAGCAATGTGGCTCTTTCTGTTTTAGTAACCATATTTAGTTTACACATGGATAAATCTACCACTGCTTTTGTTCAAAAGGAATTCCTCAACAACTATTAGATGTATGTCCATGAAGTTTTCTTTTATCAGTTCACCCCTGAACAATATCTGTTCAAAGACCACATGACCTGAAGAATACAACGTTTCCATCAGCCAGTGGGGAAAATATGCCTTCAGACGTTTCTTTTCTTTTCTTTCAAATAACAAAAAAGAAAAAAATTCTACTTATGGAATGTCTGCACAGAAGATCATTATTTGTGCTTAAAATAAAGACACCATTTCTGCAGGGTTGACATCTTAAAGAAAACCTTGAAGTCTAAAAGAGCTGCTAGCATTGCTGTAGTGAATTCTCAGTCAAGGCATCTTTTAATAAGTGCAATATCTCTGGCTGGATTAAGTGGCGGCATGCTGGTGCACCACCACTCTCACACTGAATAAGAAAGTTAACAGCTCATACCGTTCTGTAGCCCTTATGTGTGGAGTTTGCATGCTCTCCCTGTGCCTGCCAGTGTTTCCTCATACAGTCCGAAAACATTCATGCTAGGCAATTGTTGATTCTAAATTAGCTGTAAGTGTTATTAATTAATAATCCTTTGCTAACTCATCAGACAAGTTCGTATTACAAACAAAAATAGTATATTTAATGTATTTACAATAAACATACAATCATGTAATTTCCAAGAAATATACAGAACTAAAGCTTTTAAATATAAATTTATCAGAAAAAAATTGAAAACAAATACCAAGAAGCAACAGAGCATATCTAAAAAATCTTTGAAAATATAGGTGATATATTCTTATTTCATTACCCTTTTCTTTTGCAAAGGTCCCTTACAAAGAATCCTACAATTCTCATTTTGACTACCACCAACAGCATAAGCAGACATGTCATTTTAAAGCCGTCACTGTTAGCATAATGTTTCTCTCAAATCAAAGGCAACATGCTGCCTAAAGGCTCAAAACAAAGGATTATCAATCCGTATATGAAGAGTTGTCTTCCAAAATGTCAAAAAAAAAATTCCAAAATACATAATAGCAACAAAAATTTTAAACAAATTATATCTTCTTTTTTTTTTAAACAGGAAACCTATTTATTGTTGGCGAAATGTGTCTTTAACCACCATAGATAATAATAATTTTTCTTTGCAGATGTCATATTTTGGTAGTGAACTCTTCATAGGTCAATACTCCTGCCACTAAAAGTCCTTTATAAAAGTCAAACTGTTGTTACCACACGGCAAGGCCATCAAAAGAGATGAATGAAAATAATAGGATGAAAAAAAACATTTAAGCTTTAAAGTTATTTTCCATCACAAGGCAAAACGTCTTGAGCACATTGAGGTGCTAAAAGAAAACAGTCCTGTTGCCACAGGTCAATGCAAGGTCAAGCAAATGCTGCTGCCCTTGCACTTGTCGGACAGACCTAAAATATGTTGTTTTCTTCTTTGCAAGTGTTGAATGTTACAGTGCACAGGTTGATATGGCACAACATGAGCTCCGATCATAAAGTCTTAGAGTAGAGCTTCGCATCCAGGCACAGTTGCAGGACCGCTATCAGTGAAGTTTGGCTGATCTTCTACAGTCAGCCTCATCTACTGTACAAATTCAGACTACAGCTCAACATCGGTGCCACAGTAATAAAAACAATACGTTCAAGCAAAGTATTGTTTTCAATTGTACCAAAGCAACAGTATCAGCTTTGTCACTGATGGAAAGAGAATTCAATCTAAATTCGACAATACCTTCACTAGTAGAAAACTTCTACATATTAACAGTTATTACATCCTAAGTGTTACTGTTTTCTAGACCAATGTACAATATTCTATAGGCAATATATTTTTGGGACACTTTAGGATGATGTGGTGAAAGTAAGTTGAGGGATATCACAAAAAGGCTACATACAACCGGAGGATCTGCTTTGAGCTCCAGCGTGTTCAGACAAAGTTCTCTGCAGGACGTCACAGAACACTTCTATGGTGTCACTTCGGCACTTTTATGGCACTATTATGTACAGAGGAGTCAACACTAGACACACTGGGGTGCTATAAATATCAAAGACAGCGCCACCTGTTTGGGATTGCTGACGAGGAGATGGTGGCCAGAAGGTGCCCCACCCTGTTTCTTTTGAATTATTTGTACAGCTCAGCATTATCCCAAATATCCCGTTTGGAGCCAATATTTCCATCGTCGTTAGATTTTGAGCTTGAAAACAGGCACTGACTAATCAGTGCCGAAAAGTTCTCTCACTATATATATAAAAAAAATCTCAACTTGTTTATAGTCTATTCTAAGAAAATCCACAAAGACAATGATGGGATGTGGTTTAGCGTGTCTCTGTGGTCAACATAGGTTCATAAAGCACTGATCTGTTGTTTTATTTTCCCACTGTGATTTTAGGATTTTTGAAGCTATAGCAGCATCAATGTAGAGTTTAAATCTTATTCTTTTGGTTAATTATTTATGAAACTCAATATATTGCAGACCTACAAGTAATGCGCATCCAAAATAAAAGTATTTATTAGTGTAGAGTTTATATGTAGAGTTTAAATCTTGTTCTTTTGGTTCATTGCATATGAAACTTAAAATGCTGTAGACCTACAAGTAATGTGCATGTATTTACTCTTAATAAATGACTCTTGAGACACTGGTGGTGGCAAAAAGAATTTGTGAACCTTTTCAAAGCTAGCTTAAAGGAACAGTTTGAAATTTTGGGAAACAAGCTAAACATACAGATTTTCTTATGTGAATCTATAACCAGTAGTTAGCTTAATTTAGCACAAACAGATAAAGCAGAGCAGCTAACTGGGCTATGATGACATAATCTACTGACCAGCACCTTTAAAGATAACCTATTAACATTTTTGTTTCATATATGCAACAACTAAGGCATAAAACTAACAAGTTCTAATTTCATGGGCATTTTTTTTGGTTGATTTCCAGGCCCAAACCTGAGAAAATAAACCCCAATTTTGACATTTCAGTTTCTGTATACAAAGTATACAAAGACAATGTAGGTCTAACATGTTAGTATAATAAGATGACTTGACTAGACTGATTGTTTCGATGTTTGGACTGAGCCTGGTACTCAGTTTTATAAAAAAGCCAAGCTAACTGACAGCTAGCTCTACCTTTGTACTTACTGTACAGCTGGCCAGAGTATTATCAACCCTGTCTTTCTAACTCTGGCTAGGAAAAGAATTTCCCAAAAGCGTATTTCCCAAAGCCTCAAAGGGTATATGCATTTTAAAAATGAAACGTATTGTGATGATTGCTCTCTGGATTTTTGATGCAAAACATATTAAATACTTACAGAGTAAGCCAGAAGAAAAACACTATATATAAAGTGGATATGTCAAAAATCTGAATCCAGCTGAATTCTTTAACAAAAAGCTGTATTGTATCTGCATGTAGACAATCACTTCAGTGTGAGTGATTGTGACAGCTGAGGTTTGATTTAAAAGAAGAAGAAAAAAAGTCATCATCACAATGCAGTATGCATTATAAAGCTGTTCCATGGTCAAAAATAGAATTTGGAGGCCATTCGAGTTAAATGTATATTTAACCATTACAATGGCCAACAAACCACAGAGTCTGTGCAATATAGTGACATCATTCTGAACATATTTTATTTTTATGTGCATGCATTACCAGCATGCTTTTTAATGAACTCATTCTGGCTGGACACTGTGCGTCATGCTATGCTGTGTCTGTTGACAGCTAGCCACTACAATCAACAGTCTCAATACAATGACTTGGTATTCCACATAAAGGCCTTCACACTCTCACTTTCACCCAGTGTGAGCTCACTAGTCATACTGGTGCTCTTGGTAAAAGCTTCCTTCCCCACAGCTGCCACCTGCTATGGCCCTCCTAAATAATGTACCTGGAGTGTCTTATTTGCAGTGTCTCCTGCTTGTTATATTTGTTGCTTTGTATTTCATGCATCAATGCTGTAAACGATGTCCCCAAGAGTGAAATTACATTACAAACTCTTATTCTGCATCTGTTTGCAGTTGGCATGAGCATTGTTGAATCAGTGATTTAGGAAAGGTTACAGGTTCATTTACTGAATCTGATCATGTGCATCTCGTCTAAACATTAATGAAAAAGCCATCTTACTCTGTTCCTTTGAGTCAGGCTATTATTTAAACTTTAACAGTTAAGCTTTTATTCTGATTACCTGTCAGAAGCTGCATCTAATTTTCATAAATGTCAAGTAAAAAAAACAAAAAACTGAAACGTTTTGTGGCTCCGAAACTAAAATATAATCTCAGACTTTGGTCGAGTATCAGTGCCAAAACTTCACATATTTCCAACAACTTTCTCGACTAAAGTAAACACTGAAAGCTATGATGAAAGAATTTGTTTCTTAATTCTCTGAAAAATGTTAGAAACCTCTTCCACATTTTAACCATTTCAAAGTGGGATAATCCATGTTTTGTGGAAAATGTGACCTGCAATAATTGGTGGCAGGAGCTAAATAAATAAATCAGTTTTCTATATTGCTGTAAACTTCTGCACCTTTTGAACCATTTGATTCCTTTTTCATTGCTTGTTGTATGTCTGTTTGAGTCACTGCCGGGGGTTAAGGTTGAAGAAACGTACAGTAATTGTATACTGGCTTTGAAATGGGCCCTTTTCATAGCAGCCACACTGAAATGTTATTGCAGGGTAAAGACGGATGTGATTAATCACAACAATAGTGGCTCTGTTCCATACGTATACATGGGCAGAGGCTCTGGTATTGTGCATGCTCAATATCAAAATGACTGCAGTGAAAAGGGCTTGATAACTGGTTTTGGATGGAGTCGAAACCTAATAAAGGCTTTACAACAAATGTGTTAAGAAGTCTCCTGTAGGGATCCCCAGATGCACTGCAGATGGACTGAAAATTGATTACTGTCACCCTTTTTGCATTTTCTGATATACCATACCTGAGAAATACTAAAGGAAAATAAACCATTTCATAAACTCTGGTATAGTAAATCCAAAACTTTGAACTAAACTTTCGTCAGCAGTAATCTATTGCATGTGATTTTTCCCCTCTTTCCTCGTCACTTTCTATTCCAACTTTGCAAAGAAAAAGTAAAAGCAATTTTCTTAAAGCCAGCTTAATTTCAGCTGACAAAAACGTGGGCGTGGCAAATTTGGGGAATCTTCTCTTTTTCAATATGTGTCATGTTTTGGATGATAAGAAGACTGGAACTTTACTGAGGACATTTCTCTGAACTCAGAAACATCACGCTTCAGGTCTGTTGCACATTAATGGCTCCGGTTTGCAGCCCCAGTGCAGACCAGCACTATAAAACAGACTCCATGTTGTCACATGTCTCACGGTCCTCCAGGTTGTATATGAATTTTGTCCTGTTGGTTGGGTTCTGCGTGATATCTTTTCCCAAATTGTCCAGAGTCACGTTGGAGGCGAAGAGTTCGGTGGGCGTGAGGTACCCCTCGTTGTTTTTGATGTATTTCCTGTAGTTCTTTCTCAGACACTGCCATGTGGTGGTGTACAGGAGGAAAGCTGATGACTTGAGAACGATGGCGATGCTGACATACAAATGCCTGTAGGCCACATTGTCGTACAGCATGCAGGCTCCCTTCTCGCCGCAGACGGAGCTCCAGAACAGACAGGTGGAGTCGATGCCCATGCCGAAGATCAGAGGGGGAGGGATGAAGCCTGGAGCAGGTGGGGATTGCGGAGAGACAGCAGGTCACAAGGTCAAGAAGAACACCAGTTTGAGTTCATGTTCCTAATGTATCCAGGCAGACAGACTGATGAAGTTCATTTCAAGCAAGGTGAAAAATTGCCCTGACGTTTAAGTCACAGAGTAAAACTACAGACCAACAGCTGTTGCACAAACACAATACAGAGTGCCAATAGTAGTGAAGTGTTTCTTACCTATTAATCTTAGAAGCAGGAACAGAACACCAAGGGCGTAGGATTTAAGCTCTGGACTGACAGTTCTGAAAATTAAGAGAATACTTCAACCCTTTAAGTACTGTGGTGGAAAACTGTTTTAATTGGTAGACCTATTGAGTTTTAAATTACATTATTTTGTACATATCTCTCTATCTTACCTATCTAGATTACAAGCATGATGTATACACACACACACACACACACACACACACACACACACACACACACACACACACACAATGTGCATATAATGCCTTTAGTGTTATTTGTCATTATATATGAGTTAATATACACTTGCGTGTGTCTGTATTTGTCCGTATCACTGTCAGCTTGATAAATCAATCCTTTCCATTGAAGAACCACCGGTATTTTGAAATGTCGCCAGCTCCCTCTTGTGAGCAGTTGATGAATAGCAAGTGGGGGGGGACGTGCTCATACCTGATAAGGATGATGACAGAGGGTGTCTGGGCCATAGCTCCAATCATGCTGCACACACATATAACACACAGGAAGGTGAGGAAGGCTTGCTGACAGCCTGGGCTGGGACACTTTCCTGGTAAAGCCACTGCTTCTTCGCTGTTGCTGGGTATACACGCACAGTTGGTCAGGTTCTGACAAACAAAAAGAAATGAGGTGATAATGTAATAATGATATATCAAGTAAATCTGCAGTATTTATATTTATTGTGAGCCCTTCAGGCACCGGGGAGCAATGATTATCAGCAGTAATGTCCCAACTCACTGGTTTGGTACAGCCAGCGAAACAGGCTGAGAGGTAGGTGACTCCATTGGAGCCACAGACAGGGCTCACCGATGCAGTGTAACAGTTACAGTTACTAATGCATGCTGACTCAGGCTGCTGCCAAGACTGCAACGTCCTATAGAGGAAGTCAAAGGTCACGTTAGGGATAATGCTGCATATGTACAATTTGAAAATCTAATGCAATTTTTCTGAAGGATTTTTTTAATTCTGGGATTTGTTTAATTTTTTGTTTGCATGGACCTACAGTATATCCCTGTGGGGAAAAGTACTATACAGAACTAAAAGTTCCTGGAAAGACTCTTCATTCACATCAGTAAGTCATCACTCTTACTCATTGCCGTAGGCCACTGTGACCCCAGCGACAGGTCCAGTGTCACAGCCTAGGAAGAGAAAAGAGACATAGCAGGCAGTGGACACCAGGTTGACCAGCATGGCCATGCGGACAGCACCCAGAGCTGACAGGTTCAATTTCTTAACCAGGAGTCCCCCGAGGAAGATTCCCAGACAGGCACAGGGGATGGCCGTCATACCTGGAGAGGGAAAAACAAGTAAATTCTATATTTATAGAGCAACATTCCTCATGATTTGACAGTAAAAAAAAACCATAAATAATTTCCTTTTATTGAGATAAGAGTGGGACCCCTCTAGGAGAGAAAGGAAACCTGCCTCACCATGGTAACCATGATGGTAAGTATTTTGCTAGAGTACTGTTAATGCTACAGAGCCCAATATCATTGAGATGAGAGAATGTAAATGAATATCTTCATTTAAGTACTTTATTTCAATACAGTTTTAATGGAGTTAAGTGTTATTGTCTTATGCTACTTTCTACTTTTACTTCACTTATTTTAACACTTTAGTTATCTATTGTTTTCCAGTTTTCGAAGCATAAATCCACCATATTATTATCTTTAGTTACGACACATTTTTACTTTTGGTTATGTTACTACTCGCAAGTTTAGTCCTGAGTTTTGTTTAAAGAGATATTAAAAAGTTATTTAAAATTCTCAGTTTACCCCGCTCATCAATCCTGGCAAGGTTTTCTGACATCAGCCTATTGCAAAACAATAAAGTCAAACTCTTGGCAGCACAGCTTTACAAGCCTTTTTCCTCTGCTTTACAATGTGTTCCCACTCAGTGATAATTATGTAGCTGTGTTGATGCTTAAAACCTCTTGGGTGTACTCTTTCTCCCACACAAGAAATTGTGATGGAATCTACGAATGTGAGCTGTAAGCAGAACCGATAATGGCCCTGGTATCAATAAATTCTTATCAATATCCATCCCTACTGCCTACCTAGCAGCTGATTAGCTGAGGATGTTGTAAGGTTGAATTGCTGCTCTAAGTATTTGCCCAGAAAGGCAGCAAAGCCAGCAACCACAGCGATCTCCATGCAGGCTGCCAGCGTGATGCAGCTGAACACTGGATTGGAGAGAAGGTGCCTGGTAACCCGGGGGATCACTGGGTCAAAGGAGAAGAAAATTAAGTAAAAAGTAGAAAGGATGAAGAAGGATTGAGAGAAAAGAGCAGAAGCATGCGTATGAATTTAAATATTCCATTAAACAATCTTGTCACTTATTAAACCCCCTCCACTCTTCTCTTGACTTCCTCACCTCTCAGATGCTGACAGACTGAGAGTCCGCTGTTTATATCAAAGCCATGAATGGCTCCATTGGGTTTAGAGCCCTGGAACTCCAGGCTCAGGGAAGAAGGCAGCATGGCCTGCTCACTCTCAGCTCCACTGTCCATGTCCTGCTCATCCAGCGCCTGGGGGAAACCGAACATGAAGAGGGCGGACAGGAAGAGTAAGGCACCACACAGGAGGAAGCCGCCCCACCACGCCCCGATCCAGCGAGGGTCATCTGGGGTGATGTCCAGCTTACCTTGGTTGGAGGGTAAGAAAATTCACAGCAGTCATAGAGGGAAGGATGAGTATTGGTGTACTAGTAGAGGTCACAATAAAATTACCTCTGTTTCAGTGTGGTATAATTTTGCAATATTTTTAACCATTTATTTCCCAACTTACTGGTATCAATGAAAACAGCATCAACATAAACTTTGGTACAGACAGATCCTAAGATGAAGCCACAAGCTGGGCCGAACACTAAAGTTGAAAATAGGATACCTGCAAGACAAAACAAAGGTATAGAACAACAAGTCTGTCAGAAAATGACAGTATGCAGCAAAACCCCAAAAAACAAAAAACACCAACACATTTCAGTGTTTGCACCATAAAATGACCCAAGCCAAGAGGACACATGCATTTCACTTCATTGTTCAGCAGAGGGCAGCCTTGCATCAAGCTGTTTATTACCAGCACCTTCTATTCTATTAGATATGATGCTTCCTATTATAAAGTATACTTGTTAATTGCACTTTGTGATTAGGAATCAAAGGTATGTTGGTTAAAGATTAAAGATTAAGTATGAAATCCATGATCCAAGAGATTTTATAATTTCATCCGAAGTCTTCCAGCGACAAATTTATTCACCATCACTGTAATATGCAGCCCATAGGTTGCACAGTGTAATTGATCCAAGGCTAGATTATCCAGCAGCATCATAAATAATCAAGCAGGAAATGGGTTCTTACTGTAAGAGCAGTGGGGAGTGACTGATGCACTTTCTGATTGACATTCCCCTGAATGTAAAAAGCGGCCCGCTTTTGGCACAGAAGCTGAGAGCTCTCTATAAAGCATCACACTGTGCTGGACTGTTTGTGTGTGTCTGTGTGTTTGTGTGTGTGACACTTAATCTGTTACCCATGCTGGTGGTAAGTGGAACAATAGGAGTGAGTTCCAGTAGCCTGACTGCTAATAATGGATCCCAAAGCAGAGGAAGCGCTGCTCACTCCTGACAGGATGAGAGGGCCAGTCAATTTCTCTGTAGGCGATTTAATGATTACTCCTCTGGACATCACCAGTTATTGTTTGTGAGAACAGAGTAGTATTATAGGCTCATATTTAGAGGTATAAGTGCAAATAATAAAAAATATAGATCAATCACAAGAAAATAAGAAAGCATTTATTACAGTTTCAAGTCTATAAGATTGGGATCAGAGGTTCCAGATCAAACTAGGGTCTGGTATTTCCTTTGCTTATGAAGTGTATAATGTTATCGTCATGCTAAGGTGTAAATTCAGGCCTTCAGAGTAAAGGATGTGGATGCTTATTAGTCTGGCAAGATACTACATCAAACTTTCCTCACGGGACCTGCAAAAAAGTCTTGCAACTGTTGTCATTAAAGTGCATGCACCTGCAATCAGAAAGAGCACAAATTTAACCCACGTAGCAGGCATACTAAAGAAAGTCTGTTCTGTCCATAGTTTGGAAACTAGTTTGCCAGCGTTGGACATCAAGGTAAGGACTGGGCTCTCTGGAATTATGTGCTCTGCACAGACCAGTCAAATGGCTACAAAAGCAGTATGCTTGTTGCAGAACAAAGACAGCTTGGTGATTAAATGCAATCACTGATTAATCTGAATTCTGGAGATTTCTTAACGGTGAAGCCATGAGTCTGAACTAGCCTGAACCAGGCCGAGCCAGGATAATGACGCCAAGTGCAGTAACAATTCTACCAAAACAAAGGCCCAAATCTGAATCTCAAGAGAACACCCTTGAAAAACCACAAACATCTTGCAGTGAAGGAATTTCATTATAAATAAAGCACCTGGAGGTTACTGTTGCTGTGATTTGGCACTATATAAATAATTGAACTGAATTTTATAAGAAATGAGAGTTCACAAAGCCGATTTCAGAGAATTGTGCAAAGGTATGCAAACACAGCTTCAGTTTTAAGAGGTGCAATACTAGGATCTGAGGCCTTCTTTTAACTCAATTTACTTTTTCTACGACACTTTTACACACTGTAATTTCACTTTTTTTCCCCTTGTGGTGTTGTTCAGCTCCATTTGTAAAACAGTTCAATCATTCTTGAAACTTTTGGCACTGTTTCAAAGAAAATCAAATGTCTCCCTGCCCACTAATGTCAAAAAGACAATTTCAAATATAAATTTTGTTTTTATCTTTGCATAATTGTTTATGAAGAGAGACAGGCTATCGTGTGCTTACTGATTCTGGCGAGGAGTCAGTCTTGCCAGCTCTAACTTTCCCTGTGTGCTATTTTTATTTGACCAGAGCCATTGATACCGCCGGGGCTTAAGTCAGGTAATAGAGGAGGTCAGGGGTAAGAGCAGGGCCTGCTCAACAAGCAACCAAATAATGACCTCCGATATCCTCTTCTGCCTTCCTCTGGGTTCCAATCACAGACACACAAAGGGCAATTAATCTATAATGTATGTGATGTAGTGAGGCTGGCAAACACACACAAACATGGCAGTGAACCAGCAGAAAATATTGGGCCCCTGCCAATCTGATCTACAGTACACCAACGCTCAATACTTTGAAAACTAGTGTGGGTACAAAAACCTCAGTGTTTCCAGTTACATGAGACAAAGAGCCGGAGAGTGGTCGTCAAAGTGAAAGTGCTGATGACAATAGCAGCAATAAGCATGAAGACAGAGATGTGTGATGCCAGTCTGCTGTCTGAACTCAACAGTTGGTACTTCCGAGACCATATCCATGGAGACATGACTGAAAACCCAGTGAAAGAATGAGGAGTAGTACTGAAGCAATAATAAACATAGCAACCTTTACCTTACAGTATATCATTCACTACTGTTTAGTCATCTGCTCTATTCCCATGTTATTTATTTGACTCACATCCGATAGCAAGTGGACTTTACTACAGAAAGACTAAATGATCTTTATGTGGAATCATTTGTGGGATTTTACATTTATATAACAAATATATGCATATATATTGCAATTTATTTTGTACTTTTAGACTAGTAGAGCAGCATTGCACAATTCATGTTTCAAACCCAATCTTAAACCAGCTGATCCGACATGGTTTTTCCCCCTTGTAATTTACACTGAGTTGCTGCAATGCAATATGTGAACTACTAGAAAAATCAGCAGTTGCCAGACTTATGTTCCTCCGCAGATATTGATGATGTGCACACATTTTTAACTACACTCTTAAAAATAATTATTCTTCTGACATACAGTAGATTAACTTTCACAGGATTGGTATAAGTTCTGATTGCTCATTATAGATGGAATGTAAATCTTTCATGACTTATTGACTTTGCAGTAATTGTAGAGGGATGGAAGATGCTCTTAGTATCTGCAGTGTACCTGCAAGCATCAAAGCACTGATAGCTTTGGAACGGGAGCGGAAAGTGAGGTACAGGAAGACTGTCGCCACTATAAAGTGGGGCTCTTTGAGAGCAATCATACTAATATATGTATATATATTATAGTGTTTTCATACACTTAAAACAGAATATTTGTCAGGGATTCCTTTCCAAATATAGCCCACACAAATAATAAATATAACCTTACACTAAAATGTCTCAGTCCCTTCTAATTTACACTGGCTACAGTGTCCTATGGTGACAACCTTAATTTACTTCTATTGTTTGACGTAAAGCTGTTGTTCCTTCCTTCTGAACACCACCTGCTGAGATGAGCTAGACGTGAAGCTAAAGGTAATACAAACCTGATGGCCAATACTAACAGAATGTCAATTTATTATCTACAGTACACTTATTTATTTTACATAGAGCTGTAACTTTGTGTCACATAAATGAAGATGACCATCCTGGCAATAGAGGCACTCCACTTAAGTCAAGCTTTTGCAGAACAACAACCTCCTTAGTGGAGACCATGAATACTCAGCAAGAGGTACCATTTTCATTTATCACAAGTCTGCAATATGGCACCACTGAACACAGGTTTGTGTTTAAAATATTGAGATAAATATTAGAATTAATAGTAAATTATTCAATTAGTATAACTATATTGTATACATATACCAAATTAGGTACGTTTTTCTTTCAGTTGTTCTTTAAAAACAACCACATGCACTGTTAACTATGGGACCTTATACAGACAACTGTGTGCCTTTCCAACACATATCAATCAACTATATTTACCACAGATGGACTCTAGAGTTTTATTTTTTTAAAGAAATTTGCAAGAATTTCAAGCAAACTCTATTTACATTGTCATCATGGGATATTGTGTGTAGAATTTTGATGTTTAAAATGAATTGAATCCATTACACACAGATATAATAGCCTTAAGTGGACTATAACAGCCTTAAAAGTATCACAATTCTTAAATAGAGCAGGTTTCATATTTGCCACAGTTTAGGTTTTCACCAGACAATCGAGTCCAGATCTCCATATTATTTTGACACACGCCATATCAGTCCTTTTTATTTTTCACATTTTGTTATTTGTGTAATTTAGTCAGTGATCAGTTACATTAAAAAACTGCAATCTACTGGGGTGAGATTGATCAATAAGTACGTAACCATGGATATGACAACATATGGCACAAGTAGCTGATACATTTAAAATCATGCATGTAGATGGAAGCAGCAGTAAAAGCAGTACTAAACCGATTTAAATATAGATATGTAGCTTTTTGGGGGGACAGTAATGTAAGTAAATACAGATTATAGTTCTTTTTTAATCCTGTAACCCTTGTGCAAAAAACAAAGAAAAAAGTGATAAAAAATTATACTCAACCTCATGGTAGGTCTAGCTCCATATTGTGCCTTTTGTGCCTAGCAGTAATGAATGCAGCAGATGCAAGGTCATACTGTGTTAGACAAGGCTCTTCTACCTGGTCACACTGCCAGCGCATGAATAATTTCACACTCAGGCTCACATTATGGCACAGTTCAATCGCTGGCACTTTGTATCTTGGCCAAGGTGCTCTTAAAAGGTGCTCATATAAAACAACCTGTGCCGATCTGAGCGGACAGTGTGTGCTGAGTCAGCGCCCATTCCCTTCCTCTGCTGTCCTACAGTGGAGGAGTAATAACTCCAGTGGAATAAAAACATTTTTGCTGCAGTGGACTCTAAACTTGCAGCCTCACACTGCTTCATTACACACATTAAAGCGATGAATAGAGGCTAAGATAAGAGAAGCTGACCCTGCAGCTATAGAGCTGGACTCCATGCTCCTCCTAGGCTGCTCTTTTACTGTACTTTCATTTATTGTTCTGTACGGTGCTTTAAAGCAATGTGCTGTAATTTGTTGTATTTTTGTCA